TAGTATATAGAAACACAACTGAATTTTGTATGTTGATTTTGTATCCTGAAATTTTGCTGAATTTGTTTATTAGTTCTAATAGGTTTTTTTTAATCTTTAGGGTTTTCTATATATAAGATCATGTCATCTGTGAAGACAGATTAATTTGCTTTTTTCTTTCTAATTTGGATGCCCTTTATTTCTTTTTCTTGCTAATTGCTCTGGCTAGGACTTCCAATACTGCGTTGAACAGAAGTTGTGAAAGTGGGCATCCTTATCTTGTTCCTGATCTTAGAGGAAGTTTTCAGTCTTTCTCCATTCAGTATGATGTTAGTATGATGTAGTTTAGGTTTGCAATGGGAGAAACTACCTCTCAGCATGGGTAAGTCTGCCCAACAAGCAGAAAAAGTGAGGAAGTTTTATAGTGAAAGTCTAAGCAGTAAACAAATTCCAAACATTGTATAAAGATGGAGTAGATAACTATGACATACTGAACAATTGTTTCTCCATCTTTTTACAATATCTATGGCTACTCTAATCTAGACTATTCAACTTGTAATTCCTATATATATTTTAAGAAACAACAGATCAATAATCATCCTGTTTTCCCAGGATATTTTCTGAACAATGTCATCTGCATTCATCTAAACAATGGGTTTCTTGGTTATAACGAAATCTCCTAAGGAGTTTCTTTGTCAAGCAATAAATTCTAACGAAAGGGCAGCTTCTTGGGCTAGAAGGCAAGTCAATTAAGTTTTAAAAATGGAGTCACTGTGGTTCATTTCTTTTATTCTTCTTTCCTGGCCACTTTTCTTCTTCAACAACAGTAAGCCCATTCTGAATGGAGCGAGCTGAACAGACAGTACCAGATAGGACTACTCGGTAAAAGAAAAGTTTTGCTAGATTTTTTTTATTTATGATGGGTAATGCAGCGTCCCCGTTAAAGGACATTCAAATGGTATGGTACATGGTCACATTATTGACCCTAACCTTCCAATTCCACGTAAAACAATCTCATGATTTCCTCACCGTGAACACAGTGTGATTTTCCCCCCTTAACGCTGGGCCATGTGGGTTGCTTGAACCAGTAAGAGGATATAGCTTCTGGGACCATGGAAAAGACCGGAAGCTGTTGCGAATGCGGGCACTGGGCGTGGGCGTGCCCTTCCTTGGGACGCCTTCTGAGTGCAGCCTCTATCAGGGGCGTGGCCGCACCACCTGCGCCTGCGCACTTGCGTGAAGGCAGAAATCCTCGGAGGTTCCGCATTGCATTCTGGGAGCTGTGTGAGGCCGTGAGCGCGGGCATTAGTGGAGCTTTGAGATGGACATTTCCCACAGGCCATGGGGACCGGAGCTCCGCCGCGGGAAGCGGTGGGCCTGTTGCGTTCTGGGAAGAAGTGTGTCCCAGCCTCAGTGGGGCAAGGCCAACCCGCCCCCAAGCGGTGCAGCTGAGAGGATGAGATGAGGAGGAGCTCGGGGCGTGGTCAGTGCATGGCACTGGGAACCTCCGGGTAGAATGTTCTGGAGAGCTCTGGGATGGGGGTGCCTGCAACTGTATAGTTAGGACATAGCATCTCTTTGTGACATCAACGGCTGTTTTGAGACTACGTGTGACAATGCTTCTGGGTGTGACAGGACGTGTGTCCTCTGACACGTTCTACCACTGTTTCTGCCCTCTGGACTCAGACACCTGGCATTGCCTTGGAGAAAATTCCGAGTGAACAGGTGTGGATTTCTGAAGATGTTTCCCAGCAAGCAAGCACAGAGTAGGCGTGAGATAGGAAACTCAGACCTGGAAATGGCCTCCAGACGCCCTGGGAAGACATGGTGCTGATTCCCATAAATATGATGTCCCTGGACAGATCCCACTACAGAAGACTGAAGTAAGATTTTGTTTCAGAACCGCAGTATTCCTGAAGATCTGACCAAGGAAACGTGTAAATTCAAAGACAGACTCCAGGAGTCCTCTCACTTCCCTCCAGTTAGTGAGGTGAGGGCAGGTGTAGCAGTAGGGAGTTTCCTAACTCCAGACTCGCTTCCACCAAGAAAGGTCTCAAGGTGGTGGAAAGAAGTGTTGCACAAATAAAAATCAAGGTTCAGGAGAGTTTAACTTTCTCCTAGCATATAAAAGCATGTTTTCTATTAATTATTTTGAATATATACATATTCGAAGTGTAATTGTGATTTTTCACAAATGCACAGTTATACCACCATTAAGTTGAAGAACACGCTCCATCATCCCAAAAGAATACTCTTGTGGTGTCCATTTGTACTGAATCCCTCTACCCTAAACCATTGATCTGTTTTAGGTCCCTATACCTTTGCCTTTCCCAGACTATCATATAAATGGAACATCATGTTGCCTTATGAGTCCTGTTTGTAAAATTTGATACCATATTTGTAAAAGCTCATAATTATATAAAACTGGAAGTGTGCCTGAGTTTCAAAGTTTTGACATTGCCCAGTACGGGTGGTGGCACACATTAGAACTTCAAAACTGGGCAATTCTGTTATTCTGCACTATGTGAATTTGGGTAAAACTCTGTGCTCCTTGTGCTTAACTTTCATTTATAGGATGGGAGGAATTACTGGCAGGAGAATGAAGTGAGATACTAATAATTATGAAATCACAGCCTGTAAAGCTGAGAAATTATAAGTTAGCACTGAAAAAACACAAAGATTAGATCCTTAGTTCTTTAATAAAACACAAAGCTGTTACTCTTCCCCCACCCTTTCATAACATGGACTGAAGGTCTAAGCATATGGAAACCATACCTGTGAACAGCCAGTGTGCTTTGTGGACATTGGGACACAAAGCTTCCAACTACTCCTCTCATAATAAGGCACTAAAAATTTCAGTTTGAGGATTCCAAATATACCTCTGTATGCCACTCACAGTTATCGTTTCAATAATTGCCCTGTGAAAATCCACAGGTCTTTCTGGTGTTTCAGTGGAAAATCAGAGTGGATTTGCATAGATATCATGCTGCTGGCAGCAGAAACCCATGATGGGCCAGAACTGTACAGATGACCTTAACCCATCCTGAAACTGGGAGGAACTCAACAGTTAGTGGGGCACATATTTTATCAATCATTGTATATAATAGCAAAATGATAATGCCAAATATATATGGCAGATGTCACACACCTCCATCATCTGACAGAGCATGGTGACCATGATAGATCAAGACAAAAACAATGATAGTAATTGTAAAAGAGAAAAAGGTCCAAACCACAAAAATGACCAAAATTCCTCTCTTCTCACTAATGACTGACTGGTGTTTATGTTTAACTCCACTCCTTTCTGTCCCATTAGGAACTCTGATGATTGCAAGTGACAGACCTTGTTCACCTCTTCACAGTATCTAATAATGGAGAAATGTCGTTTCCTTGAAAAGCAACAGAACTGCTGACAACAACCCCAATTCACATAAGATGTCCTATTGAACACCCTTTTACTGATGATCCCAGTCATTTACACTTTTTGGTTATTACAGTAGTACTGGGCTTATCATTGGGGTACTTCCCAAAGACCCCCATTGGTAATGGCCTGGATGTTGTCATGCAGCATCTTGTGGTGGCATTTGGCACACCCTTTCCCCAGACTCTTGGATGCCTGAAACCATGGATAGAACCAAACCCTATATATACTGTTTTTTCCTATATACGTACATATGATTAAGTTATAAATTAGGCACAGTAAGAGATTAATAGGACAATTACAATATACTATAGTAAAACTTATGTGAATGTGATCTCAAAATACCTTACTGTATTAAAGATCTTAGCAACCTCAGCATGTTTTTTCTTTCCTTATTGAGTTCAAAACTTTCACCTTTTCACTAAAAGGAAGCACTTTAGGGGCGGGCTCCGTGGCTCACCCGGGAGAGTGTGGTGCTGGTAGTGCCGAGGCTGCAGGTTCGGATCCTATATAGTGATGGCTGGTGCGCTCGCTGGCTGGGTATGGTGTAGACCACACCATGCCGAGGGTTGCAATCCCCTTACTGGTCAAAAAAAAAAAAAAAAAAAAAAAAAAAAAAAAAAAAAAAAAAAAAAAAAAAAAAAAAAAAAAAAAGGAAGCACTTTACAGCTTTTCTTTGGTATATCCAAATTGCCAGCATCACTACTTTTCTACTTTGGGCCATTAAGTAAAATAAAGGCTACTTGGATACAAGCACTGCTGCACCTTGACAGGTGGGACAGCTATTAAATGACTAATGGGTGGGTAGCATGTACATTCTGGATATGCTGCCCAAAGGAATGATTCATGTCCTTAGCGGGACGGTGTGAGATTTGATCATGCTATTCAGAAGTGTGCAATTTAAAACTTATGAATTGTTGGGCCGGCCCGTGGCTCACTCGGTAGAGTGCGGTGCTAATAACACCAAGGCCCCGGGTTTGGATCCCACATAGGGATGACCGGTTCGCTCACTGGCTGAGCGTGGTGCTGACAACACCAAGTCAAGGGTTAAGATCCCCTTACCGGTCATCTTTAAAAAAAATAAAAATAAAAATAAAAATAAATAAAACTTATGAATTGTTTATTTCTGGAACTTTCCATTTAATATTTTTTGACTGCCATTTCAGGTAACTGAAATCATGGAAAGCAAAACCATGGGTAAGGGCAGACTACTGTATTACTACAATTCATTACACCTTTCTCATTGACTACGGTGTGACCCTGGTGACCTTTTTCAATGGGGCACTGATATTTTTGGTGTTATAAAGGATAGAGAAATTAGTTTCACGACAACATGTGAAAGCATAAGAGTGAAAATTAAAATATGGCTGAGGAAAAAAAATACCTGAACTTGTGTGCACATGCTAAGAATCAGAAGGTACGATTAATTTGATAAAATTACAAAGCTGGGGCCGGCCCGGTGGCGCACTGGATAGTGTGCCGCTTGGGAAGTGCGGCGGCGCTCCTGCCCGAGGGTTCGGATCCCACATGCAGACCGGTTCCCGCTCACTGGCTGAGCGAGGCGCGGAAAAAAAAAAAAATTACAAAGCTGAACTGAATATCCATAATTGCAATGGCATATTTTAATATATTCTCTCAGGAAATGGAAAATACAGTATTAGTATACAAGTTGCCTGAAACCAGTTAACAAAATATTTCTAAAAAACATTTACCCAAGCTTTTGTTGCACAAAAAATACGTTGTTTTTAATCACATACAATCGAACATAACTGAAAATGTACGGAGGAAGTACATTCAGCAGTAATTGGAAACACCTGCAATTTGTCTGCTATGAGGAAGGTGATTACTGTCAGATGGAAGGACTGGGGGGGGGACAGTGGCCAATGCGTAATGAAGTAGAGGGACAAATCCCCTTGCAGTAGTTCTTTTTGATTGCATCACTGTAGCTGTCATGGTGGAATCAGGAACACAGTCACCAACAGTATTAACAGAACTACAAATTAGACCTTAGAGGAATACAATCTCAAGACGACAGAGCATCAAAGAACATTCTCAACCAAAACAGAAAATGGTAACTTGATGCACACAAGGGTTAGATGGAAGATCCAAACTGCAAATAGATCTTTGATGTGACCTTGTGCAGATATTTGTGGAAACCTACACATCTCTTTGAAGATGGAAGTCAAGCAGTGGGAGTTTTGAGGATATTCTTCACTGGCAGAGAAAAGAATCAGGAAAATGGGCAGGAAGCAGGTACGAGCAGGGGCTCTGCATCTGGCTGTCTCACTGTATGGTGATTCTGATACCCGACTAATAAGTTGTCTTTACTTCTGCCTGGAAAATCTCATGCAAGTTAGGCTATTAGTGAATTCTATTATGGAACTCATAAAGGAAATAGATTCTAGAACATTTGATTCACAACATTACCTCTGTTGACATAATAAGAACCAGGAGGGCGATGTCCAACTCTAAATTTTATTGTTCTATCACGGATATCTTTTTTTTTTTTTTTTTTGGCAGCTGGCCAGCATGGGGATCTGAACCCTTGACCTTGGTGTTATAACACCATGCTCTAACCAACTGAGATTTCTGGCCAGCCCTAGATGTCTCTTTTTAATTCAAAGTCTATTATCCAAATCCCAGCCAGAAGGAATGATGAAAAGCAAAGGGCAAAAGGTGAAAGTAATTCACGAGACTATACTCTGTGATAAACTTTGCATACTTAACAAATTATGCCAGCTATTTGATAACAAGGAAAATGTAATAAGGCTATTCTGGCCAAAAAAGAAAAAGTTTTTCTCAAAAAAAAGGTGGAATACATACAGCGGGTAAGAGATATCCAGTACCTTCTGCATGAGGCCAGTAGGAAAAATCCCAACAATTACCAAACTATCATTTTTCAAGTCTCTTACTCAGAGAACAATTCAAAAAACATATAAAAATTAAACCTAACTATATATCAATTCACCCATGGATCCAGACTTCAAAATAAAAAAGTTTATTAAATGACTTAATAAGAAAACATTACCTATTAAGCTTCTGGACTATTCCTTAAAAGAGTACTTACAGAATTCTCATTTCAAAGCTGCTTTGCAAAACTAAGAAGTGGAAAGTCATAGTTCACAGATGCACTTTAAGAATGAGCCACTGAGTAAAAAATGTTTTTGACTTTTGTAACATTTCTTTCATGTTGTGAATCTTCTGGAATATTATGCATGAATTACCTTGCATCTAGCTTTCCATATTACATTTATATAGTATTTCTCTGTAGTGGAAATTGTCACTACTCTGAAAATGTCTGTTGAAATAGATAACTTTCCCTTATTTTTCACACTTGTGGAGTTTCTGTCCAGTATGCATTTTCACATGTTTTTGTAAGGATTTGGGCAAACTGAAAACTTTTCCACATTGCTTACACTCAAGATGTTTCCCTCTACTGTGAGTTCTTTCGTGTCTTTGAAAGGAACTGTGAAGACTAAAGGCTTTCCCACATTCTTTACATTTATAAGGTTTCTCTCCAGTATGCATTCTCATGTGTCCTTGAAAACTTGTGGGGTAAATGAAGGCTTTCCCACATTCCTTACATTCATAGGGTTTCTCTCCAGTGTGTGTTCTTTCATGTATTTGAATATAACTAGAACAACTAAAGGCTTTTCCACATTGTTTACATTCATAGGGTTTCTCTCCAGTGTGAGTCCTTTCATGTGTTCGAAATGCACTGGGAAAAATAAATGTTTTCCCACATTCCCTACATTTATAAGGTCCATCCCCAGAGTGTGTTATCATGTGTCTTCGAAAGTTTTCGAGAGATATGAATGCTTTTGCACATTCCTTACATTCATAGGGTTTTTCTCCAGTGTGATTTCTTTCATGTATTTGCAAATCAAGAGGATAATTAAAGGTTTTCCCACATTTTTTACATTCATAGGGTTTTTCTCCAGTGTGAGTCCTTTCATGTATTCGAAAGTAACTGGGACGACTGAAGGCTTTCCCACATTCTTTACATTTATAAGGTTTCTCTCCAGTATGTATTCTAAGGTGTACCCGAAAGGCTGGACGAGCACTGAAGGCTTTCCCACAGTCCTTACATTTATAGGGTTTCTCTCCAGTGTGAGTTCTTTCATGAATTTGAATGGAAGTGGAACATCTGAAGGCTTTACCACATTGTTTACATCTGTAGGGTTTCTCTCCAGTGTGAATTCTTTCATGTACTCGTAAAAAACTGGGAAAAATGAATGCCTTCCCACATTCTTTACATTTATAAGGTCTATCTCCACTGTGTGTTACCATGTGTGTTTGAACACTTGTGTGGGATATGAAAGCTTTCCCACATTCCTTACATTTATAGGGTTTCTCACCAGTGTGAGTTCTTTCATGTATTCGAATAGAACTGGGACAACTGAAGGCTTTACCACATATCTTACATTCATAGGGCTTTTCTCCAGTGTGAATCCTTTCATGAATTCGAAGAGAACTGGGACAACTTAGAGCTTTACCACACTGCTTACATTCATAGGGTTTTTCTCCAGTGTGAGTTCGTGCATGTGTTTGAAAGGGTTGGTGATATACAAAGGTTTTTCCACATTGTTTACATTTATAGGGGTTTTCTCCACTGTGAGTCCTTTCATGTCTTTGAAAGGGTTTGAGATAACTGAAGGTTTTCCCACATTCTTTACATTCATATGGCTTCTCATATAGTTTATGTCCAGTATGAGATCTGATGTGCCTATTAAGGGATGAATGACGCATGAAGACTTTTCCACATATGCTACATTCATATGGTTTTACTGCAGTAGTTTTCTTAGTTAGACTGAGATTTGGAATCTGGCTGAAGGTTTCTCCACATTGACTAGCTTCTTTACCTTCACAGAGTCTCTCTACCATATGGCTTCTGTAAAAAATTAGAAGCACATTAATAATGGCTATTTATTAATGATTTTATATTTATTAACTATTATTAGAATTACATTTTTATCATTTTCAGGAAGACTAGGTTTTCTGCCCTTTCTGAACTGTCTGAAAGTGAATATACTCAATGCTCTGCAAGAGGGTTTGTCCATAGCTATTACCAAAACAGTGATATTCACATGTGGGGTTTCTTAATACTGTTTCCAAGTAAATATTCTTCAAACACTGAATATCTGTGTCACTTAAAAAAATATTTTTGGTGAAAAGTTCCTAAGAATAAACAAATTTGAAGCTGGACTTATTTTATTTCCTTGTTCTTAAAATTTCATGACATACTAAGATTCTTTCAGGAATACTACTTTCTCTTACGAGTGTAACTCACCTTAGATTTCTCCCCTGGTTATTGTACTGATATTCAATATTCTGGTCTTCCCATTTTCCCCCTAAAATGCAGACCCAGAAAAATCATTATAATTATTATAAATTATAGAAAAATTATTTTCTATAATTTTTACATCCACAATGAGCAGTGACTATGCCTGGTTTATTTACCAAAATGCTCCCTTTCAACATTCCAAATCTTGGAACAGCATTGATGAGCAAGAACACCTGTTTTCCAATTGACTAAGTGAAGGAATGATCTCATCCTTACCTATGTAGGCCAGGTTCATGAAGGTTTCCCTCATCACATCTCTGTAGAGTTTCTTCTGTGAAGAATCCAGCAGAGTCCATTCCTCCTGGGTGAAGTTCACAGCCACATCCTCAAAAACCAGTGATTCCTAAAACATTCCACATGTGTGTACAGAAAAATGGGTGAGACTGACAGCACTGGGGATCTATACAATTCATAAGAAGTTCACATACGATTCTGTGGTCTCCAAAGATTTATGAGTTGGCTGTCTGAACTTTAATTCTCTGTACACATTCACTTACTTACAAGCTTAACAGCACTTTGAACACACTGACTTATTTCTACATTTTTACTGTGGTCACTACAAGTCTTACAGCTCTAGTTTAATGATGGTGTCTGGTCCAACTTGGAGAAATGAGAGAAATCCTATACATGAATAATTTATAGGTTTATTCATAACTGCCAAGTTTAAGAGTTAACCAGGACATCTGCAACAGGCAAATAGATAAATCATCTTTGGTACATCCATATGATGAACTATTGTTGAATGATAAAAATAAATCAGGTATCAAGCCATGAAAAGACACTGCTAAGTGAAGGGAGCCAATATGAAAAGACTACATATTGAATGATTCCATGTATATGACATTCTGAAAAACACAAAACCATGAGACAGTAAAAAGATCTTTGGATGTTAAGATATACTGAGTGGGATGGACAGATGAATAAATAGGTAGAGCACAAGAGATTTTTAGGGCAGTGAAACTATCCTACATGATACAGAGATGATGGACATTTCTTTTTCTTTTTTAAGATGACTGGTAAGGGGATTTTAACCCTTGACTTGGTGTTGTCAGCACCACGCCCTCCCAAGAGAGCTAACCGGCCATCTCTATATAGGAATCTGAACCCTTGGCCTTGGTGTTATCAGCACCACACTCTCCCAAGTGAGCCATGGGCTGGCCCCAGAAATGATGGACATTTCTGTCCATCATTAAATAATTATGGTCATTATATATTTGTAAAACTCATTGATTGTTTACGAAAGAATCAACCCTGATGTAAACTGTGGACTTTATACATTAATATTCATACATCATTTGTAACAAATGTACCATAGTAATACAAGATTTTTTTAAAAAAACAGGGCAAACTGTGTAGAAGCAGAAGGTTTATGTGGGAATTCTCTGTACTTTCTGATTAATTTTCCTGTAAACCTAAAACTTCTCTAAAAAAGTAAAGTCTTTTAGAAATAAAGAGAGACTCATTACAATTCACCCTTGATGACTGACTGACTGATGGCTGAAACAGGCCATTTTTCATCTAATTGATTTGAACTTACTTGAATAAGTCATTATGATACCCTATGAGCCTGAGACCAATAAGATAGGTAAATGTTCTATAAAATGCCTTGTTCAAAAGCCCAATGTTGTATAGTCAGAGAAGAGAAATGAGGGCCTTGGTTAGTATCAGTAGTGTCTGGAACTATGACATGGACAAGTGTGGAATATACTAAAAAGCATATGTACTTCACAGGGCCTGGTTTTCCAAAGCCTTTCAGTTTCAAATATTAACCTTGCGTAGGGCTGGAAATTTTCCTCAGGCTATAAGTCTCTGTTGCAAGATAAGAATTGTGGCACAGCAGGTTGCTGGCTCAAAGACAGACTAGTTACTGACTGTTACGTAAAGATACTGGGAATTGCTATAAGAAGGAATGTTTGCTAAGATCAAGCTTGTGTTGATAAGACCGCTTAATTGTCTACTGGAATGTCATCTGGCTTGTTTCACTGAAAGTTACCAGCCTATACTGTTAAACTATAATCCCACCTATGTCTCTTCCTGGTCTGGAAAATAAATGCAGGAAGAGAACCCCAATTCAGCGTTAATTTCCCAAATGGAAGGGTTGGCTCTCGCTTGAGCATTCCCAGGGAAGTTAACCACTTAGGGGCTTCTCACTGCTCGGAAAAGATGAGCTCTGAGTAACCCTTTGCATCTCCATCACCCAGGGGGAGAGGGGTGACAAATCCGTGGGGGGCGAAGCAACACAAAGCAACAGACAAGGAGTGTCCACATGAAACCTTTTATTTTGGACTTAGTATACGTAGACACTTGCGTTAGCTTGATTTATATTTTGGTACCCAGAGTCCTTTTATCACAAAGAGGCAACTCTTAGAAAATCACCCAAGAGTAGAAAAAAATGTGAAAATGGGGCTAATTGTTTGTTGGTGCTAAGATGACTGCCTGTTGTTGGGTCGGTTGTGCTGACCCTTGGATCTGGTCCTTTATCAAGTTCATCCCAATTAAGGGATGAAAAGCAGCAACTATCTACTGAGCTCCATCATGTATGAATGAGGCAATGTCATCCAGAAAAATCTATGTCAATGAACTCCCGCTGCTATTCATTCATCCTGAAGGAGCGCCACATGTAGCCAGGAGGACTGGAAGAGGAATGACCTCCTCCAGCACCATGTCACATGGTAAGTGACTGAGGAGAGGGGAGGCTACTCCTTCTGCAGGTAATATATGCTACAGGAGCAAAGTTTGGCTCCATAATGTAGAAAGGAGGTCTCAGGAGCTGTGCTTGTGAGGTGCTGTTTCCATGAACCAAGGCAGAATGGCCAGTTAGGAAGAAATTCACATGGTCAGGGCCTGCGAGAGCCTGTATTTTCAGGAGAGACCAGTATATGGTGTAACTGCAGCTCTAATGGCAATATAGTGGGAGTCAAGGACAGTTTCTTGCATCAGAAGCCTATGGACAATTATGGCCATCATGGGTAACTCCAGGAGGTATGCAAGGAGATTGCTAAAGCCCCTGTGATAACAGAGTCCCTGAGGGCACTATTGGGGTGCCTGCTGTGTGGCAATTTGAACAGTCTATGACCATTGTGCTGGGGGTGCCAATTTGCAAGTCACAGCATAAAAGGGCATAAGCAAAATTTGTAAAGGAGGACTATGTTGCATCTGGAAAATCAAAAGAACCTAAAGATGTTGTGGATGCTGAGAAGGACATAACTATTTCTTTATGGTGTCATGGAGAAAAAGGCCTCCTCTTTACCAAATGTTTTCAAGAACTTACCAAGGTGTCAGGGCCTATCACATTATGTGTATGGCAATAACCCATCTTTTTTTTTTTTTTTTTTTTGGTCTTTTGTCTTTTTTCCGTGTCCGGCAACGGATCGCAACCCTCAGTGTTGCCCCCGTACCGGACCGGGGACCGGCAACGGGATCGCAAGCCTCGGCGTTGCTCCCGCGCCTCGCTCAGCCACTGAGCGGGAGCTGGTCTGTATGTGGGATCCGAACCCTCGGACGGGAGCGCCGTCGCGCTTCCCAAGCGGCGCACTATCCAGTGCGCCACCGGGCCGGCCAATAACCCATCTTTTTGTGTGTGAGAGAGAGCTCCTTTTTTCAATATTTGGTTGTCCAGAATGAATGTCAAACTAATGTCCTAGGAGAAGGATGTCATTAATGTAATGTCATACCTCTGCTCCTGGAATATGGTGCATGCAATTCCAATCTTGCCTGCAAAGACTGTGTGTGATGACAAGATTCTTGAGGTTCCATGAGGTAAAGGTGTATCAAATCCCTTCAATGGTGAAGGCAAACCACAGCTAAGAGGCTGTTGAACTAGACATGGAACAGAACACACGTAGCCAAACATGTGATATGAGAATATTTCCTAGCTGCTGACTGGATGCAGTCAGTAATTCCCATAATGTCAGGTATTGGGTGTCAGAGCTTAACAGGTGGGACCACAGCAGCAAGGGTGCAGTAATCCACTGTGAAGAGCCAATCTTTCTATCCAGGTTTAAGGATAGGCCGAATTGAGCTGTTCATAGGAGAAGCAGTGGGGATAACCACCCCTTCACAAAATAGGTTTCGACAGTGGGTTCAATCCTCAAAATCCTGTTTAATTTACATTGTGCCATATTTGCTAATTTAACCAGGTGTAAGTTCTGTAGGATCCCATTCTGCCAAGCCAATATGTAAGTGACAAAGACTGGTTTTAAATTTAATTTATGATTCACTGGTTCAGAGCTTCCCTGCTCACCAGGGGATAATTTGAAACAATGAATGCTACAATCATGGCGAATTTAGGCAGTACAATAACTCTAAGGTTAAGGCAAGGCAAACCTATTTGTGCTCTATTTTATACTCAGCAATGCTGCTAAGATTATCAGGGCTATCTTGCTTAAATTCAGTGGGGTTCCCAGGTAACTGTAATTTGAGCCCTGGTATTGATGAATCCCACAAAGGTTTGTCAATTAGTACATTACAGAGGACATTAAAATTAATACAGAACCCCAAAGCCATGCAATACACTTTTATCTTTTTTCATATAAATTCTTTTAGCACTTTTTGGACTTCCAGTTGGGTCAAATTATAGACCTTTGTTTCAGTATTTTTAAGTTTGTTTCCTCCTTTCCTCCCTTGTTTTGTTCGTTTTTCATTGCTGGATACACTGCAGGGGATAAGGCATTCTCTCTACCCTGGTACTTAAAATCCTCCCCCCCCAGCCTCAAATCAGTGTCAGTAGGGTTAGGGGCCTCCCCCATGGCAATGGTTGCTTTATATGGTTTAAGAACCCCAGGCTTAAGTCAGGTTTGATCTAAACCCTTTGCTGAGCCACAGGGTTGCCATGGGTGTTGCTCCCACTACCAGACAGTCAGGATCTTTGTGGTGGTGGAGGCACAGGCAGTGGCAACGGCAGAGCTACTTAATGGTCCTGGTGAGCTCTGCTATTAAGAGTATGGATTCAGCCCACTATTTAATGGCTGCCTTTCCCCCTTTCCTGTTCATCTTTTTCTCTTTTTGTCTTTTTTACTGACCGGTAACGGGATCGCAACCCTCAGTGTCGTGCCCGTACCGGGGACCGGCAACGGGATCGCAACCCTCAGTGTTGCACCCGCACCGCGCCCAGCCTGTGAGCGGGAACCGGTCTCCACATGGGATCCAAACCCTCGGTGGGAGCGCCACCGCGCTCCCAAGCGGCGCACTCTCCAGTGCACCACCCAGCCGGCCCATCTTTTTCTCTTTTAAAGTGACTGCACTTTCAGGAGCAACCACAAGAAGGGCCCACCTCTTCCATTGGGAATAGTCCCACCCCAGTCCTGTGTATCTGGACAAGTCCAGCATCAGTCACTGTTTCACTCTAAACCACAGATCAGTCCCAGCCAAGAAACCCATAGAGAAACACATTAAGGAGGGTCCCAGTCCTATACTTGTGCTCCCTAATGCCAAAGGATTATGAAATCTAGAACCCAGGCTTGGTAGGGCTCAACATAACATAGTGCAACACTCTCAGAGCACGAGCTAGCCTGCAAGCAGCAGCTGAAAGTGCATTTCTGCCATCAGAGCCTACTGGGTTAGTAAGTCAGTGCAAGAGGAGGCTGACTTATGGGGTGGTGAACATTTGGACAATATGCTCCTAATGTCAACTGTGATGGTCACCTGCAGAGGTGTGGTTCTGATGTTCAAATTGATGATGGTGTGGCACACACACAATGAGAGGGTAGAAAAAGTCTCATTACTTATGTGACTGAGGTCTCTGGGGAAAGCAGGGCGGGCCTCACAAGCAGGTGTAAAATGGATTGGGAGAGCTAGGAGAGCAGCCTGCCTGGGTTTTTACTGTGGTTAGGGGGCGGGGCAGGAGAGTTCCTACTCATCGGCAGAGGCTTCTGAGATTTGAATCTCCAGGATGGCCCAGATGAGAGCCCCCAGGTTATCTCAGCTTGTTGTGGTGAGCAGTACTAGGAGAAAGGGGGTCGGGGCTGAGGCTGTCAGTAAACATGAAAAAATGACAAGCTGCACCACACTGCATCTTTCCACAATATCTCACACTGGGGAGTATTTTCAGGAATGAGTTTTTGTAATGCATTCGGGGTTTAGGCCTAATCCTTTAACATAGTTAGGATATTCAAAGATGACATAAGCTTTGAATAATTTTCTTCATATCAATTAAAATAGGAATTCAATTGCATTTTTCTGTCTTACCAATTAAGATAGAAAACTATTTGCTTTGGGAATAGTATAGCCTTTTCAATTAAAAAGTTCCTGGGGGCCAGTTGGCTAGCTCAGTTGGTTAGAGTGTGGTATTACAACACCAATGTTGAGGGTTTGGATCCCCAGTACCAGCCAGCTGCCAAAAAAAAATCTCTAGGGATATGCACATGCAAAAACTGACCTAAAAATTAAAAATGTACCTAAGAACTTTAGCATACTCATCTCACATCTTAGTTCCTCTGGCCTAAAAGAAACAAAGTTCTATTTGGTTCCAGAAGTTTCTTGCCTTACTCGCATTATCTCTCTCAATCACCTTAAATTTCAAAGCCAAAAAAACGAAAACTCTTTACACAATAACAGGGAATAACAGTCAGCTCGTTGGTTAGAGCGCAGCCTTGTAATACCAAGGTCACGGGTTCAGATCCCCAAACTGGCCAGCTGCCAAAAAAACCCAAAAAACACACAAACAAAAAATAATGGAATAAAACTACAAAGTGCTAAGGGCTGAGTTAAGATCCACAATATTCAATAGATAATGGAATCCAAAGGAAAGAAATACAAATATTCTTATCATTTCACATAAGCAGCTTGTTTCCTCACAGTTTACAAGGAAAACCCCCATTCAGAAGTTAAACATATTCCCAAACTCAGGGCCAGACTCTCCCAGATTGAGAATGTAACCCCCAGAGTGGGTCCCTGGTGATGGAGGGTAGAAGCACCTGACAAGAACAAGCTATGGGAGCTCCATACCCCTTCCTGTCCCCTGGCAGCAAACCAACACTCCCATCCCCAGGTTTCTATTCTCCTAAGTAAGAAAATTCTCAGCCAGATTGAGATTGAGGTTCTGACCCAAATGAGCTCCCAAATTCATTAACCCTGTATCCAGGCAATAGAAGTTTTGACCTATCCCAGATATTCTCAATATGCACAAATTACACTCTGAGTACAACTACAACATGGATGCAAAACTCAAACATAATGTTTAAAAATAGACCCAAACCACAATTAAAACCTGAAGCCCCTCCCCCGCCAACCACATTCCTGTTTGCAGGTGCATCACGAGCTTTCCTAGGGCTCTGCAGCTTCTCTCAGTACAAAGGGTGTCCTTCCGAGGTGAATGTGAGCAAGGGAGGCTTTTGAGCACCACTGGTATTTTAAATGACACAAGCCCAATGTTTGAAGAAATCAGCAAAATCACTCAAACTCAGTGTGTTCATGTGTACGTAAGGAAAGCAAGAAAATTGTAAAGCACTTTTAGTAACTCAACAAGAAAACCCACAAGTACTATTACTTTCAGAAAATGAAGATGTCAGTTAATTATTTCCATGGCAAGAAATGGTTTGCTAAAGTACTAAATCATATCTGAACTCTTCTAGGTGTTCCAGGTCTATGTCCTGGAATTCCATTTGAAATCGCCAAAGTACTGGTTAGTTCTGTTGGTTAGAGTACAATCTGTAACACCGAGGTCATGGGTTTGGATCCCTGTACTGCCAGCCATTAAAAAAAAAAAAGAAGAAAGAAAACAAAAAAAGAAATCACCAAAGGAAAAGAACAGATTTCAGAAACTACTACATGCGCTCAGGAAAAGAGCAAAGGGAAACAAGGATTTTTTTTAACAAGTGCAAGATAATACTGCAATTATCCCCCCCCCCCCCCGATATTCACCTCTCTCTTACCTCTTTGGAACTATTTTATAGTGTCTCTCAAGTTCTACTGCTTACATACATTTTAAACTTATTTTTTAAATGAGACTCAAATAAGCGAATAAATCCTCTCAAGGTCACAAACCAGGGAAAGGGTAGTCCTAATCTGGAATTCTGAAAGGAATGATCACCCGGGAAAGTTTGCAAAGAGTAACCTAAAGCCACAGGCGTTCTTTCAGGATGTTTGTACCCAGGAAAGACACTGGGGGAGGCACAATTATCTGATACAATGTAGTTCCAGGTGATTATTCTCTCCTTTTCTTTCACGTAAAACATCCACAAACAAAAACCAAATCTTTTAAAAAGAGCCACCCATTGCTCTTTGGAAAAATGATCAAAATACCGCGTGTGTTTGAAATGTACAACGGAGGACAAACAGTTGACAATGACATTTGAACTGGAGAGGGAAAGCGGGCATTTGGAAATTGGGAGGGACCTGGAAATTCACAGATTTTTTGCCAGCCCTAGGAAGAGCTGGGCTGGGGGGAACAGGGTCGTGGGTTTGAAACGCTGCTTCCCAGACATTTGGAAAAATCAGAAGAAACGGTTCTACGGGAAGAAAGGAAGGACTAGGGACAACACGGACCACAGCTCCTCCCACGCAAGAGCCCCACGGCCTGAGTCGGATGTGCCCTGAGGACCCCGCCGTCAACGCACACTATGGAGACACGCTACGCTGCCCAGAGGGCGCCGGGTCGAGGTCGCCGCCGCAGGAACGGACCGGACGCCCAGGGTCCCGGCCGCCGGCCCCGCCCCATCCTGCGGCCGGAGGGGACCGAGGGCCGCGCTGCGCCGGCGGCGGACTCGGGGCCGCAGACTCCGGGACTGCAGCGCGGGGAGGCCCAGGTCCCGCGGCCACGGCCGGCTCCGGCCGGTTCCAGCTGGCCCCGCTCCCCGTCTCGGGACGCCCGCCCGACACTCACCATTTCCCGGCTTCCGGGGTGTCCCCGCGTCCTCCTTACAGAATCCCCGGGCAGAGAAGCGAGCCACGCTACAGAGAAAGCGACAGGCGGACCAGGGGGCGTTAACAGCGGATGGGACGCCCAGCAGGACGACGGGGAGCGCACAGTGACGTAGACACGCCACGCAGCGGGGCCCCACCCACCTTCCCAGCGGCGTCCCTGATTGGACAGTTAATAGGGCTCTGCTCTCCATACGCTCGAGTGCGCGGCGGGGTAAGGTTCCCGAGCAGTCAGTGTGCGGATGTTTGTGTTTAATTAAATCGTGTCCCGGACCAAGGATCGGACACTGATGTCTTCCCGCAGCTCCTTCTGAACGTGAGGACACACGTGTGCGCAGGGAATTCCAGGCTCGGTTTCCAGATGGAGCGTCCCCTTGAGGAGCAAGTGCAGATCAAGAGGGTCGCCCAGGCAAGGCCACACTGGAACATGAGTCTAATGTCCTATAGGAATCATGGGCTTGGTATGATGCTGCGAGGCCATTCATGGAATTGTGACCCTTATTGACAAGCACAGACACTTACAAGGGCCTCAGCATATGTAATGAAGAATCTGGTTCCATTTTGATCTTTGACCATGATCGCTTGAGGCTTCCATCTGTCCCTTCCACCCCCGCAGGTCTGGAACTTTAGAAAAGGAATCCCTAGGATTCCTGAGCACTTGGCTCTGGTGGGAAGTTTGAATCCTGCTACCCTAGCCTGGATGCAGGGGCCCTTCTCAGACCAACCACAACCTATGAGATGTGCTCAATAAACTCTCAAATGTACATTTTACACTGGGAGGAAATTTATTTTAGAGAAATTCTTGAGTGTGTCCTTTTGAAATGCAACCATTATAATCCTAAAGCAATTGTATTTCTGTTTTCACTGATATAAGTGACAAAGATTTGACGAAAGTTTCATCAGGCTCCCTTGAATCCTATCCCCAGGAAGGCCCATCTGTATACTTCCCTGTAGAATCTGCTTTTACCAAAACTCCTGCTAAGTCAGTCTAGGGAGAATTCTCCACCATCCATATGTGATATCTGATATCTGAATAAACTCTCACCCCGAATGTCCCCCAGATGATATGTGATCACCGGGTCTGCCTTCAGCCAGAATCCTCTCAGAATTGATGTTTCCTCTTAGTAATTTTCCATCCATCAATGCGCCCTTCTTCCAACTTGCTCCTTGGCTGTAAATTCACTTCTTCTGGTTGTATTTTTGAATTACGTCTAGTTCTATCCTGTATCCTCTCTTCCCCTATTGCAATCGTCTATTGAATAAAATCTATTTCATCTCTGTAACTTCTCTCTAGCTCTGTTTTTTTTTTGGGGGGGGGTTGGTGGGTGGCATAAGAAAAACAATAGAAGGATATGTAAATTCGGGTTGTACCTGTTAACTCGTTAGGGTTTTAGAGGGTTTTTCTTGGCAGCTGGCCAATACAGGAACCAACCTTGGTGTTACAGGGCTGTGATCTAACTAACTGAGCTAACTGGCCAGCCCCCTGTGGACTCTTGATATCCGTAGCAGGTTAGATCAAAACTCCTAATGCATTATTTATTTATTTATTTTAACAGCTATGATGCAATAAAATACACATACTACACAATGCACTCCTTTAAAGTGTATAATTCATTGGTTTTCAGTATATTCATAATACGTGCAAACACCAGCAGAATTTTAAAACATTTTCCTCACCTTAAAAGGAAACCCCTGTACCCTTTAGTATCACTTCTCTCTCTTCACATCTTCCTCCTTCAATCCCCAGCCCCAGGCAATCACTAATGTATTTTCTGTCTCTATAGTTTTCCCTATTCTGGATTTTCATATGAATGGAACTATATAATACAGTCATGTGCCACATAAAAATGTTTTGGTCAAAATGACAGACAACGTATATGACAGTGGTCCCTTAGGATTATAATGGAGTTGGAAAATTCCTACCACCTAGTGACTTTGTAGCCATTGTAACATTGTATCACTATGCATTAGTCACATAGGAGCAACAGGCTCTACCATATAGCCTTGGTGTGTAATAGGCTATATCATCTATGTATAAGTACACTCTATGATGTTCACACAACAGAGTTGTGTAATGACCTATTTCTCAGGAAATGTTACCATTGTTAAGTGATTCATGAATGTATGTGGACTTTGTGATTGGCTTCATTCATTTAGCATAATTTTCAAGAAAGATTCATGTGTAGCAAATATTAATGTTTCATTTGTTTCTTTCTTTCTTTTTTTTTTTAGATGACCGGTAAGGGGATCTTAACCCTTGACTTGGTTTTGTCAGCACCATGATCACCCAGTGAGCAAACCGGCCATCCCTATATGGGATCCGAACTCGTGGCCTTGGTGTTATCAGCACCACACTCTCCCGAGTGAGCCACAGGCCGGCTCCATTTATTTCTTTGGAAGAACAATATCCCATTGCATGGATATAGCACATTTGTTTAACCATCCATTCATTAATGGCTATTTGGTTTGTTTCCTCCTTTTCACTATTATGAATGAGATCGCTATAAAACACTCATGCACATATTTTTGTGTGTACATATGATTTCCTATTTCTTGGACATATATATAATTGAGATGAAAGCAGACATCTTTGCTTTTGATTAAGTTTGGCTCTCCTTTCAGTTAGATAACTCTCACGCAGTGCTTCCTCATCAAGCTCTGCTTCCACACATCTTGCATGAGTTGTAGACTGGCCTGGCACTCACCATGTCTGAAAGTGACCACAGGATTTTAGCAACTGATAGTGACTAGAAATATTGCAGCATCTAGTTAAGGTTTCAACCAAGGGCAAAAAAAATTTATTCCATAGAGAGGATTTCAATAGAATTAGTGGGAAAAAATAAAGGTGTTTCTGATTTTCACAAAGGAGTCCATTCTACTCAATGAACCATTTTTCCTAATTTCTTAATAAGAGGTGAAGTCTTCTCAGTGCTTAACCTTGGTCTGAGTCAGGCAGCCTTGGGACCAGTGCAAGAGTCCCTACTGATTGCCTATGTAAAGTTGGTCAACTCACTAGCTCCTCTAAGCCCTCATTTCCTCTATGATCTGCTGAAGATAGTATTAGGACTTTCATGTCCAGGAGGCTGTGAAAACGAAGTATAATGAGCCAGTCCACACAAGGTGCTGAGTGCAGTGTCTGACACTTAGGAATTCTCCCTAAAGTCCCTTCTTTATCAGTGTTAGTATTTCTGTTAATACTCTCATTGCCATCATCATCATTATATTCATAAAGAATTAGAAAGCAGAACATCTCTCAATGCAACCTAGAAAAGTTCACACTAAAGATGAACAAACTTTCTTGAGACTTAAGATACAAACTGGTCTATAAAACTTCTGAGGACTGATGTTTGTAATTTAGTTCTGTGATTACTACACCAATTTCTTCTTTGCTCATGCTTTGAAATTTTCCTAAATAAATTCTCTGATGATTACTTTTTGGTCATTCCTGCCTTCCCCACTACACAGAGCAATTTGGTTTATTCTTCCTCCCACTCCTACCTAAACACCATGTGAATATTTTATTCAGGCTACAAAGAATATTGATGTTCTGCCATTTAAAGTTTCTTCATGAAATCTATCCCTAGAAAGATCAGTTGCTCCTTTATTTTCATTCGGGGTTAAGAGCAACTTCTTGAACCTGGGATTACTCATTCCCATTAGCACCACATTCCAAAGTCATGGGGAAATTAATTCTTTCCATACATGCAAAGAGCTCCCTGAGCTCCTTAAGGGGAGCCCTTTATTTGATGTAGACCATGCTGCAGGCCAGGATGGGTCCTGAATGTTAATGTGCTTCCCTTGGTGAAGGTACGTGCACCAACACCACACATGTCCTGGCCCTCATGTTTGCCTTCACGGAGATGAACAAGAACCTTCTCCTATTACTCAAGATTGTCTTAAAAGATATCTACAATGTCTATCCCAGCGACCACAGGACCTTTGAGAGCACCATCATGTGACTGTTAGGACAGAACCAGACTGTCCCTAATTTTACTTGTGAGAAGCAGAACAATCCCATGGCCATCATTGCAGGAAACATGTCAGTATTTTCTGCCAGGAGGAGCCAGTACTAGAATTGTGAAAATTCCCACAGGTGCAGATCAACGTAGGGGTGGGACAGGCAGGGATGAAATGTTCTTTCCTATGACTCGACATTGTTGGAGTGGGGAACCAGACATACATTACTTCCCCAATGGACACGTGTTCTTGGTGTGCTGGGTCCTTTATGCCAGGTGGATATGAAAAGTTGGGAGTTAAAAAAATACAGAGAAAGGCACTCATGACTTGAGAAAATCATATCGATTTCCAGGAAATCTGCTTTTAAAATATTGACTTTCAGAGTTTTTAAAGGGAAGACGAGAAACAGATAATGAAGTTCTGAATGTCTTAATTCTTGTTGCTAATAATCTGAGTATCTGCAGGACTTTCCTTTTCTTCCTATATTGTATTAGTCATTGTTGATAGTACTGTCCAGTAGTTTTCCTCTCGTATTATAAATATGGGTTGAAAAATGGGCCCTGACTTTCTGTTTTTCCTCAGATTACTTAAGATTCTTTGGATATGCCCATCTCTGTATCCCATGGCCATGGTGGAGTTATTCCTGCATTTCAAATGAACTTCAGTGGGGTTGTTTCTCTCAGATGGTATGAAAGATGAGTGATTCCTCAAAGAAATGATCAAAAATGGTACCCGTGATAGTTTACAGGGAGAATGCCTGTGATGGGGCCAATCCCATCATTGTCAGAATGGATTTTCCTCTCTAGTGCCATAGATTTACCAACCAGTGTGAATATTGTTTATGTGGACACCCAGTCTCTGATAAGCTTCAGTGCAGTCGGATTAAATGTGGAACCCCAAGGAAGGGGAAGGAGTGGAACGTGACCACAGACCACAGAGTGGGATTTCACTGCAGGCGAGAAAGAGTTCCTAGAAACATTTGCTAAACTTAATCTGTTTTTTTTTTTTTTTTTTGGCATGGGGTGGTGGGCAGCTGGCTGGTATGGGGATTCGAACACTTGACCTTGGTGTTATAAGGCTGCACTC